TTTGTTTCAATTATTAAACTGTCCTTATCTCAACCTCTGAGGGGTTTTTTTCTGATTCTCCTCCCCATCTTACTGGGGGCAGTGTGGGAGAGGCAGGAAGAGCGATCAAGCGGCAGCATGGTATTTAGTTGCTGGCTGGAGTTAAACCATAACCCTTGAGTACCATGTCTGGGTGGGATGGAGTTAACTTTCTTCATAGCAGGCTGCATGGCACTGTGTTTGGAATTTTGGGCTAAAACAGTGTTGATGGTTTTGGCTGTTGCTGAACAGTGATTGCACAGCTTTGGGACTTTCTCTTTTCTACCCCACTCAGCTCATCCACCACCCCAGAGCATAGGCTGGGGCTGGGGAAGAGGTTGGGAGGGGACACAGCTGGGACAGCTGACACAAATTGAACAGAGGGATATTCCATACTACATAGTGGTGCTCAGCAATAAAAACTGGAGTAGTGAGAGAAGGTGGGGAGGGGATGGTGGTAAAGCCTATGTATGACTTCAGTGGAGGCTGTTGCTCACAGACTGGCTTGGCATCCTCTCTGCTTGTGAGATGTGGTGAATTATTGCTTTTGCACTGCTTATTTTGGGACATCTTTTTCTTCTTTTATTCATCTATTAGAGTGCCTTTATCTCAACCGAAACGTTTTCATGCTTTTGCTCTTCCTATTCTCCCTTCCATTCCACGAGGTGGGGCAGGGGGTGAGCAAGCATCTCTCTGGGTGCTTGGCTGCTGACTGGGGTCAAACCACCACACCTTACTAGAGGTAACAGCAAAATAGATAAGTGAATGACAGCTGGATTGGTCACATTAGTTTGTAATTCCTAACTGTTACAGTCCATTCATAGGCTGTATCTTTCTTAACTGGAATACCAATGGAGTATGTGTGTGTGTGTATTTTCTTCACAGTTTGACATTGGTATCCCTTCAATGACAAAGTGCTGCAATCAACATGACAGATGCTATGACACTTGTGGCAATAAAAAAAATGATTGTGATGAGCAGTTTCAGTCCTGCCTCTCAAAAATTTGCAGAAATGTGCAGAAAACACTTGGAATCTCAGAGAGTGTCCAGGGTAAGTGTGAAAAACCCTTTCTTTTTTTTTTCAGGCTTAACTGAGCCTAATTTGGCAAAGAATCTTTGTGCTGCGCAATAAGGCCACATTTTCATAAGTTGATGCTGTTACTGAAAGATGCCTTGTTCTGTCCCTCTGCCATGCAGCCCAGACACTTGTACAGCACAGCAAGGACACAGCATAGGAAAATGATCTGGGTTAAAACTAGTTAAGGTTAGTTTTAACTTTAGGGGGAAAAAAATGCTTCCCATTTAGAATTAAAAATATGGGCATACAACTTGATCCAAATGCATGTATAATTCTTGCATTTACTGTAACATAGATGAATACTGACTGTTGTGCTGGGTGATTTCTAAACATCTACTACGTATGATTGCTAGTAAACTGTATGAAAGTGTGGAATAATTTCCTTTTATGAAATAAGATTTTAGAATAATACACTGTCATAGTGGATGTAGTTAATGCTGTCCCTTAGTGAATAAATGTTAGGTTTCTTAGTAACAGGCGACATGATACTCCTTCTGGTTGTTGGCCTGCATCTGATGGATATATGACATAACTACTTTTTAACTTAGACATTGTCACTTTCACAGTATGTAGTCCCACTGAGAGCAGTAAGACTTTAGAACAAGCCTGTGTTTGAACTGCTCAAATTCATTTAACTGCAAATAAGTCATCACATTAGTCTTTAGTGTCAGAACTGGTGAATATTTGTTCAGTTCTGTTGAGCTGATGTTAAAGATAGCAACCTCTGCATAAACTGGGATGCAAAGAGTGAGGGGGTAAACCAGTTCTTTCATCTTCCCAAGACTCAGTATTCTAACACAGGTAACATTCCATATGCAATGAATTTTCTTGTTCGTTTTGTTTGGCATGTGAAAAATCTTAATTCAAAACTTAAATGGTTCTGTATTGGTTCAGTCTTTCATTTAACAATCTGTTTGCCATGCCCAGAGAGGGCTGCTTCTTTCTTAGAGTCATTCTCACTTTGCCAGAGTTATTTCTGTTAGTTTCATATTCCATTCAAAGCATACTTTTAACTGAATTCTTCTTTGCTTGCAGCTTGTGAATCAACTGTTCAGCTGTTGTTTGATGCAGTTATACATTTAGGATGTAAACCATACCTGGACAGCCAGAGAGCTGCATGTATGTGTCATTATGAGGATAAGACAGATCTCTGAAAGAAGATACTGAGATCTCATGGTGTACAATGAAGATTCAGCTGAACTGAAGCAAGTCTTTGGTTACAAAGCTTTACGATTTTCAGATAGTAATATATTAAACACTGATGTGAATATACTGATTTGAAAATCACTACAATATTCTTATTAATGTAAAAAAGAAACAAGTCTTCTTTCTCTTCTATTTTATGCCAGGATCTTGGAAACTGAAATTAGTTTCTTTTGGCGTATGTGTGCTCAGGGCATGTTATTGTACAACACTACAGCAATAGTGTACAACTACAGCACTAGTATGCAACACTAGTGCCATTTTAAAGTTTCTAAGAAAACTCCATAATGGGGACATCAGAGGCACTGAAGAGTTATATTGAATTCTCAGATGATTTTTAATATAGGTCACATTTTAGGTTTACTAGATGCATCTGATGGATCCAACAGGAAGGAGTGTTTTGTGTGCATCAATATGACATCTTAAATAGCCTGTACTTGCGTGTTTCTGGTACAATTGCATTCAGTTCTCTCTGATATATGCTGTCCTGGGTTTGTTCTTAAAAAAGCAACCAAAATACCCCAAGCCTGTATACATCTGAACTACATATTTCTACCTGAATCTGTATCAACCTTACTTCTGCAGCACTTTTCAGATCGAATATGTTGATCCTTTTAAGGCTTGACCAGTAAAATGAACAGCTTGCAATCTAAGGATATACTTTTGATTTGACAAAATGGTGAAATGTAGTTTCTTATGTTATTTTTAAAAATTCATCAAATGTCTATTTTTAAATAAAACATTTTGTGTATTATATGCACAGAAAGGATATAGTGTTCCAACATGTTCATTTATATTTGTCTTGTGGCACAACTTGGCTACTGTATTCATCTTTGCTTTCATTTAGTACATTCTGATGAAAACTAAAAGCAACTTCCATGTTTAAGATCAGTAAGCCCAGCAAATCTTTTTATTTAAGATGTGCTCTGTGAGGCTGATGGATATTTGAGCCTGTATTTTTGTCATCTGTTCCCATGACCTCTCTGAGGCTGAACAACATCTGAGCCTGTACTTCTGTCATCTGTTCTCTCTCTGACTTCTCTAGTTAAAATCACCTGATATCTGAATTATTTGGGATTTGTTCACTGTACTCAGCTTTTGTTGCTGATCTACAGGTGTTAGTCCTTAACTTCTGCATTAGGTTCTCTGTTATAATGATTTGCTTTCATGCGGCCCTTCTTTAGATATCCACAGGAGAGGAGTGAAAATTAAAATACTGCATCTGTGAACAGGGAATAGAAACCATGCTAAATGCCTAAAATTTACTGGACTCATGGACTGTAATGTCATTTCTCCTCTGGAAGGACTTTTATATGTTTTTTCTTTGCCAGTTGTATTTTTGGTTTGTTTGTCACTGGAGCTTACTGTACATGACATTGAATGTGCCTCATTAAAAAAAGTTCCTGCTAAAGTTCTTTAGCCATGCTTCAAGGTTTCTTTTCTTATTTGGGGATATGAAATAGCACTGCAAGAGAAGTATTACTATAGAGTTTTACAAAACTGTGCTTAACGAACTTGTGGTTCCTCTAAATTTGACGAAATTTATTTTCTACCATAAAATTGAAACAACTCTGAATTACTCTGGAATTCCATGGTTGTAACCCTAAAAATCTTTTAACACCAAAGCAGGGAACAGTAATGGCATTGCTTGTTTAAAATGAAAAAAAGTACCACAATGAGTCAAAAATGCTGTAATTCAACTAAATAGCTGTTGAGTTCAGTACAGATGAGCTTAAACTAGATGCATAAATGAAGGCATGTCCTGGTTTTGGATGGGATAGAATTAATTTTCTTCCTAGTATCTGGTGCAGTGCTGTGTTTGGATGTAGTGTGAGAATAATGTGGATGACACACTGATGATTTAGTTGTTTCTGAGCAGCGCTTACCTTAAATCGAGGACTTTTTAGTTTCCAATGCTCTACCAGTGAGGAGGTGCACAAGAGGGAGAGAGGAAGCATGGCCACAATAGCTGCTCCACACTGTCCAAAGGGATATTCCATACCATAGACTGTCATGTTCAGTATATAAATGGGGGGAAGTTTATATCCCAATCAGCTGGGAAGCACTGATCACTGCTCGGGAACTGCCTGGGCATCGATCAGTGGGTGGTAAGCAACTGTACTGTGTGTCACTTGTCTGTCCTGGGTTTTGTTCCTCTTTATTATTTTCATTTTTATTATTTTTATTTATTTTACTTTATTTCAATTATTACAGTGTTCTTATCTAAACCCATGAGTTTTACTTTTTCTGATTCCCCTCCCCATCCTGTGTGTGTGTGTGTACACGTGCACTTAGTTGCTGCCTGGGGTTAAATCATGACTATACAGAAAATTTTCAGTGGTGGAAAGAGCTGGTTTTTGTTCCCTTCTGTATTCACCTATACCATGAAAGTATTCCAAAGTTTCCTTCAAATCATGTATAACGCTAAAAAGAGCTTTAATCCTGCTGGATAGCACTTTCATAGTTCTGTTTGCAAACCACAGAAAGCATTTAACTTTTTCCAGGGAGTCTTTCCTTTGTGCAAGTTTTTCCTGTAGCAGAAATCCTAGATTATATTTACCTGCAAATGATACAAAATGCGTTTTACAGACCACAGCTAGCCTTCATTTTAGGGGTATCACCCCCAGAATTAACTTACATATTTATATATATGTGTTTATATATATATATGTAAAAAATGTAATGCTTGTCCTGGTTTTGGCTGGGATAGTTAATTTTCTTCCTAGTAGCAGATAAAATGGTGTGTTTTGGATTTAGGATGAGAATATTGTTGATAACACACAGCTTCTCATACTGCCCTGCCAGGGAGGAGGCTGGAGGTGTACAAGAAGTTGGAAGGGGACACAGCCAGGACAGCTGACTCCAGTTGACCCAAGGGATATCCCACACCATGTGGAATCATGCTAAATGATAAAACTGGGGGGGTGGGAAGGGCAGTTGGCCAGGGAGCGGCACTGATCACTGCCTGCGGACTGGCTGGGCATACATCGGAGGGTGGTGAGCACAATCAAACTTCCTTTTTCCGACTGCAGTTCTAATCCATCCATAATGCTTTTTCCAAAAACTACCCACTTATGGTGGAGCTACTGCAACAATCTGAAAGTGTTTCAAAACATCTGTTTCAAAACACGTATAGGCATGTGTAACAAAAAACTTGCATATAAAGCACACCAGCCAAACGCTACCTTAGGCTTCATACATTGCAGTCAAGTTACTGGTGAGTCATCTGAACATGGTGTCTGACGGCTCTTAGCCTCCAGCAAAACAAAGCAGAGAAAAAGTTTGTCTTGTTACGACCTGAGCAAACTGTTGGACTGAGGAACATGGCTGATACGAGTTCAAACTGCTGAACACAAAGCTCTTACAGAGTCCTAGATTAAGGTTCTACAGCTGCTACTTCACACAGGATTCTCTAGCATGAGCTGAGAGAGCTGGGATTAGCAGTTACAAAAAAAAATGAATCTGCTTGATAGGAGTCTAAATGTTACACAGTGGAAGATGCGAAACTCTTACAATAGTATCATGTTCTAACTAAAGTAAACACAAAGACAATTTAAGTAACTGTTTTATCTTGATTCAGCTGCCTACTGGCAGACTGAAGGTAACAAGTCCAAACAAGGGGAAAAATAAGCAATGGTAATTAGAAATACCCATGGCTTCTTCAACCAAAAGGAAGACATCTTGTCTAAAAGATTTACCCATACAAGAAGCCTGTAGAAAACCAGACCAAATGGACCGGGTAAAAATGCTTAAAATCCCACTCTAAATCTGCCTGCTTTTGTGCTTGTAGCAGCAACCTCTAAGTGCGTATTCACACATGAGTTTATCCTAGACCCTGCCTAGAAATAGGCTGGATAGAAAATTCAGATTCCCTCCACTGTACAAAACAGTAAAGCTCTTATACAGAAGAAATTTTTTTTTGTCATTGGCTTTGGTTTAGAGACTTGTGTCTTACACAACTGATCCAGCGAACAGTAAGTCCATATAATTAACCAGTTGGGAATATTGGCACTTGTTAAGATACCTCGGCATTCTCTTCAATATCTTGTCACACTCCTCACAGTTCTGAAATCGTCAAAGAGAGCTGATGCAAGAATAGAGAAAATGCATTTTGAGGAGCAGGAGTTTTACAGGAAAGGAAAGCTCCCCATAAGGGGGCCTTGAGGGCAATTTTGAAAAATCTCAACTTAGTAAATAAAGGAGCTTCTCACCAAGTTTCAGGACGATGATTTTGCCTACGGCGGTGCAGTTACTCAGGCACGGCCGCTGAGGTGCCCGTCACAGGAGCGCAGGTAACGCAGGGCACACTTTTACAGGGCACCCTTCGGTTCTCCCGGCCGCGTCCCGCCCGACGGACACTGCCTCCGTCGCCCCCCCCCGTTTCTTGCGAAGGCGGTGGCCGGAGCCAAGGGCGACAAACGCCCGCCCCCGTACGGAGGGGGGCGGGCCGATCCCAGCACGGCACGGGAAGGAAGGACACGGCTCGGCTCGGCTCCGCTCCAGCAGCAGTTCCTTTGTCCGCGGTCATGTCGGGGCCGAAGCGGCCGGCAGGTGGGTGGGCGGCGGGGGCGGCGCAGCGGGTGGGTGCGGGCTCCTGCCGGAGCCAGCGGCGCGCAGGAGGAGCGGGATGGGGATGCCTGTGAGGGGCTGCGGGGAGAGGGGTCCCACGGGCACCGTGGCGTGGCAGTGCTGCCGGGAGGGCTCTGCCGGCGCTCGTGGGGAGCGGGGCTTTCTCTCCCTTCCGTCCGGAGGAGGAAGGGAACGGGGAAGGTGGGACGTGAGGAGTCAAAGACGGCGGCGGCCGACGAGGAAATAAATGTGCACGGAAATGGGTCTGCACGTAAAGTCCAGCGCACCCGGCCGAGGGGAAAGTCCCGCCGGAGGGCGAGGGAAGGGGGAAGATCGCCGATGTGTAACAGGAGTTCCAGGGAAGAGAGGGCAGCAAAACTGCGGGGCTTGGGTGCATACCTGATTTTTGATTCCTTTGAAGCAAGGAGAGATCTAAGACAAGTAGTCCCATTGAGAGCAATCAGCTTTTAGAACAAGGCTGTGTAAGACAAGCAGAAAACTTTTCATGACTCATGGTAATTCAAGTAGTGTTTACTTGAATGAAGCTGCAATATGAGAGTGGCATTGAAAAGCTACAGACTAGGAACTGACTACACAGAATCTGAATAACAGGAAAGCCGTATTTCCCTGGTTTCCTTCGGCCCAGGAATTCTGTTCTCCTGTGTCTACATTACAGTATTTTCTGTCTTAAAGTCTGATGACTATAACATTTTATGATCTCTTTTTGGGGGAGTGCCTTGCCCCCCTCTCCTTAGGTTAAGACAAAAGCATAAACCATATCTCAGTTACATATGCAAAAATACAGTGTAAATTTAACATACAGATGCACTTTAAGATTTCTGCCTTCCTGTTATCAACACAGGCACAGGTGTTGTTGCAGTTCTATCAACACTCATTTTTTAGCAATTCTGTCATTAGTCTGACCTCCATGCTATGTTTCAAGCAAAAGAAATAGCTTTTTTTTGTGCATTCAGGATAGGAGTGGTAACTGTAAGACACCACAGCTGATCGATATTTGTCAGTGGGAAGCTTAAATGTAAATAGTAACACTTAGTCCTTTGAGTCACCCCCCTGCTTTCTTGTGCTGTGGTCTTCAACATTAAGCTTCTAAAGCCAAGTCCAGATTTCTGCAAGTTTATTCTGGTGTCTTTATGAACTTTTCTCCTCTATCAACACAGAGCTATGTTAGTTTTGCAAAAGGCTTTAATAACATGTGAAAAACAGATGTGAAAAGGTAATGTTGTGTATACAAAGCAGTTTGTAAAATATATGTGTATGTGACTCCTCTTCTAATTGCAGGCCACGTCCAGTTGGATAGCAGACCTATATTATCTACCACAGGTATAGTATAGTATATAGTTTTCATAATATGTTAGTTAGTCTCCACCAGTAGAAGTTGTGATTTTATAGCCCACTGGTTAAGTGAAAGGAATAAATATTTTGGCCTAACCATCTGCAGGTCTGTAGTTCTGCACACTCCCAAGATGTGCACATTCCCCACTGTTCCCACATTGTTACCTTTATGTCCACTGGCATTAGCTATACATACTGTTACACTACTATTGTGACTCGTGCTGCATCCAGCCTCGAAGACAATGCTCAGCTTTGTATTACCAGCATTACTAATAAAAGCAGCATTGCTAATAAAAGAAACGGTAGTGTATTTTTAAATAATATAACATTGTAACTATTTAGAGACTTTTTTAAAAAATACAGCCAGCAAGTAAATTATATAAAATCATGATCTCTGAATTATGCCTATATAGGTACAGATGCACAGACAGATAGAAAATACGCACGTCTTGACCATCTAAAATTCACACTGTGAGAGTCAGAACTTTCAGAACAGCCTCCAAAAGCTGTGGGTGCAGACAAATGCTAATGAAGCTGTTTAACTGCATGCCTACTTACCTGATGTGTAAAGGAGCTTTTGGTTCACATTAACAGCTAAACTTTAAGGCTGGATGCATAAGTTCAAATTGTTTCTGTTCAATGAATGATTTTGGAGCTAAATCACTTTTTGATCTCTAACAGATGGAAATCAGAACATCACAGAAGTAGATGCATTCGATACAAGGTAAAGTTCTGGTGGCGGACAGAGATGGCCCATGGCATTGAAATCATTGAATGCAGGGTTTTCTGATTTTTTTAAGAACATGATGGAATTATTCAATTGAACTCCACCAACTTACAGAACACGTTTCTAGTTTTAGCTACACCAGATGCAGAAGCACCCTTATTGTGAAGGCATGTGGAAGGGACTATTAGGAGTGGACTCGTTTTATGGTAGGCAATGTGCAGAGACTGTGGCAAAAATACCATCACAATCTAAGGAACAATTGGACAGACTAAGTAATAGAATGTAGCACAAGAATATATTCGTCTAGAAGGAGGAGAAAAGGGACCATGGGATAGCGATTCCATTGATTTTTCCTATTCCACCTTGCAACATCATCTAGCCCTGGAAACAGTAAACTACCTGCCTGATAACTCTATTTGCCTCACCCATTCAGTGAATACAACTGAGCAGAGAAAGAACTATGTAGGGAATCATCCTTTAATGGTCATTCACAGGATCCAGGGACCTAACTGTCCAAAATCCCTACCAGCCATGCATCTAGCCAAATCCTACGGAAGAGAAATTGCCAAAATCTGAATAAATTCTGGTACTGGCACAGGTGAAATACCATTCATAATTACAAGGCTAAAGTTTATAATCTTTGCATTTTATTGTGTTAAGTACTCAAACTGGGGAGAATGTGATAAAGCACCCAACTTCTTATACTTGTTATCCAACCAACACTGTTGAAACCCCCAGACCTTAAACAGTCATCCAAAATTCCTGTTCTCTGAATTCTTATGCAGTCATTACCAAAAGATGTTTCATTAAGGAGCTTCTCATAATGAAGTGGAGAAACAGAAATAGTTTCTATATAACTATAACTATAACTTTGTTGTGAAACGAAGCATTTTGCTGACAAAACTGTGATCTTTAAGTAGCATCTGCAGGCAAATATTCTAGCCAACTTCTTCCACTCATTGCACCAAATCTGAATATTCTATAGCAGGAAAAAAACAGTAACATGGCAAAAATGGCTCTGACTAGAGTCATTCCTAGGTCAGCATGACCTGGACTGTCATTCTGTACACCTGTTCTGTCCTTGTCTGTTACCAGTGGTGTCACCAGAAGTGTTTTAGTTTCCATTTTCTGCACCAATTACTGTCCTCAGAAGCAGAAAGATGGTCTGCTTTGTCTCTCAAAATACAGCCATGTCAACATTTGGAAACAACCTTCTGGATCCAAGTGTTGGCATGACTGTGGGTCCACAACCAAGTCCAGAGCATGCTGTTACATGCTTCTATAATGTGTTTTGCTCGTAAACCAATAAAATTGCTGAATGCTACTCCCAAAGACACAGGTACTCCACGCTTTTGTTGCTATGATATAGTCCTCTACTTAGAAGCTGGGTAGGTCATTTATTCTGTCCTCTAGAACACCTCTGTCCTTCAGCCTTCAGATTTTGTTGGCTGGTTGCTAAAAACTTAGATGAACAGTTGTATTATCATAGTTTTCATTTTCTTAGGGTAAACAATAAACATTTGTTCTCCTTTTGCAAGATACACTACTCTTAGCACCTCATCACCAGTTTATAGTCTATTGCTTATGATGTAAGCACTTGATTTACTTAGAAAAACTTGAAGCAAACTGCAGACAGCTACAATTCCAAATAAGTACATGTGTACTATCCAATTATGTTAAAATAATATTTAGCTGAACACATAACATGGAGAATTAGAGCCATGCCTGAAGTGCACCATTGTATGCGTTACTGTGTTACTAACGAGACAGCCTCCTGACGAGAGAAAACACAAATACCTTGCAGAGAAACTGTTCAATCTATCTGGTGGAGCCACAGTAAACACCCAACCCTTGTTACTGAATCGCTCAACATGCCCAAGCTTTTAAAAAAGACCTAGCGATTTTGGGTCTTCCTAAAATATTACACATTTTGAGGTCTTGTCTTCTGAAATTGGCTCCTCCAAATCTCTAGTCAATTAAAAATTCTTACCTTGTGGAAATACAGGAAGTTAATTAAATTAGCCATTGACTCATTTATCAAGAATGTTTTCCATCTTTGGCAACAGGCAAACACATGATCCTGCAGTGCAGTACAAAATGAACCATCAAAGAAGAGGAATTGCATTAATCTTCAATCATGAACACTTTTTTTGGCATTTAAAACTGCCAGACAGACGTGGGACTTTGGCAGACAGAAACAATCTGAAACGCAGGTAAGAAACTTGGTTTCTCTGCTCATCCTTAAAAAAATCTAAACTTCAGAAATCATAGTCAAATAAGCAGTTACCTAAATCTTGTGTTTTAAGTAGAGACCAAAAGATTTTGTGGACATAAGCATCTATGCAACTTTGGTACAGAAAGCTGTAATGAAAAAGCTTTAGGGCATATTCCCTTATGTCACAGAAACTGCTGGCACAAGTGCTATGATTTCAGTGAGTCGAGAGCTTTCTTTGGGCAAACTCTTTGAAGTAACTTGAGGTATTAGACCTGTACTTGACAATGGTTTGAGTTCAAAATCAACTTTGGGGTTTTTTTTCATAAATAATGCATAAACATGAATATTCATTCTCTGAGAGGGAAAGCAACTGACATATAATTTTAGCAAGATTTGTACTAACACTGATGTGTTTTAATAATAGTTTGACAGACCTTGGGTTTGAAGTCAGAGTTTTTG